ACCTCGTGGGCACGAGCATGGGTAGTCACTACCTGTACCCGTCGTGCCCGACTGTCATGAAAATATAGGAAACCGATGGGGCTCATATAATACAAACACCGGGGGTGAGTTCTAACCAGCAACTCGAAATGACTTCTCGTTAACAGTGAAATTTGGCAAGCCCGGAGTAGTCATCGGCCTAGAGTCAGCATCGGCTTCGAAGTCCTGAGATTAGCCGATGAGAGTTGTCAAGTCGTCAGTTGTCGGATTCTTGCTATATTCGGTTAAGGAAATTGATTTACTAAAGGAAGCTTATCCAGAAGAGACCGAGTTCAAAGAAAATGCGGCATGGCAAGTTATCTATTAATTAGGAATAGTTTGTTAGTTTCCTTTTATCTTTAGGAAAGTGTGTTTAGTGTCCTATAAGGACTTTATCTTTTCCTTTTATCTTTAGGAAAGTTTCTTTCTTGTCCAACAAGGACTTGTATCAACCCATGGGTATAAATATGTATACCCGGGGTCTATGTAATCTATCTCCACGATCAATACAATTCGGCGCATCGCCACCCTTTTTATTTCTACTTTTGTTTTTACGTTCCGGCGGAACTTGGCACCCGACGTGGGGCTACATCGTCTTCGATCTCCGGCGAAGGGATAAGTACAATGTTCCACCAGCCCAGGCAATTGTATCGTTTACGTCGGCGTCGTTCAAGGCTGCATCAGTACATTCGACCTCCTGGATTGCTCTGGTTTGGATGATATACTTGCCTACCTATTTATCATATGTCTCTGTTAATCTAGTCTTAGCATATCAATTTACCTCTATCGGCTGCTTCTTTTTTTAGGGTTTCTGCCGGTATCGGCTAAATCGTGTTGCTAGATTAGATTAGCTTAGACATCTACCACCCTGAAAACTCCGTCAACGGCTTGATTGTCTAGATATTATGTTTCTTTTCATACTTAGTGCTGCATCAGTTAAGTTTGATCTACTAAGTCGTGCTTAGAACCATAATCTCTAGCCTGCTTTTTGACTGCCAATAAGGGTTTCATCGGGGTTTCAGCCGGTGAGTTATCTGGACGTTGCATCGGCTCATAAGGATTGCATATACATATAAGTTGGATTTAGCCGATGGCAACAAAGGTTTCACTGTTTTAATCTAATCTTATGGATTTCATGACATCGGACCTCCAGCCGATGTGTGCTTTAACCTTCGGATCGATGCTTATTTATCATATCATTATTTGCCGATTGGTTTCTACTGGACTATATTATTGTTATATTTTATTATCATCAGCCGATCGCCTTTATACCGTTATCTACATTGGACATATAGCCGATTGCTTAAACCCTATCGCTATTGGCTGGTATCAGCATCGGCTATTATCGCTATCGGCTGGAACTATTCCATCGGCTTGTCAGCCGATCGGCTGTTTTGATCTACTATTTGTATATCTTGTCAGTTGCAGGATCAAACTGACTGGTACGCTCGCTTCTCATCAATCTTTGGACCTGCACTGGAGCTAAGCAGATCTCCCAGGCCGGTGTGTTTGATTTTTTCGTTAACACTACTACCTCGTTCCATGTGAACAAGCTTCCCGAACTACTTAAAGGCATGTTATTTGCAAAAGTTTTTTCATATAAAAGTTTCTTTAAAAAATCAATAAATTTATTTTTAGAAAAATTATAATAATAATTATTCAATAAATTATGTGCTAATCTGAACTGAACCTGGGGTCCAATTAAACAAAATTTTCATGTGGTTGATGGTACTGCCATCAGGTAGCACAAGTGGCCTCGATCGACCCCAACTTACAACTATGTGAGTAATCTACAATTTTGATGTCAAATCATGGTTGCCCTGATAGGGAGGGGCTATGTATGCCCCAGTTGCTGGGGGCAAGAGGCAGGCGATGGTTTGGCTTGTGATGAAGAACAGGTTTGTTGCAAGTGGCCCGGCCTCACACGTCTACTCCTACTGATCTACAGCTAATTTCGCTATCTCCTCGCCTGCTCGCATCCGCAATTTGCAGGGCAAGAATATTGATCTTCTTCATCAGTTCCATCGACTTCCATGTGAGCTCATTGTCAGGATAGCCAAGCCATTGGTTGTCTGGCTGTATTCCCATTGGCTGATTTAAATCCATTCTTTTAATTTTTTTTGAAATGGACATTTTGTCTTCTTGTCATGACCAGTTCCCTCAATTTGCAGGTGTAGTGTTAGTATCAAACAGTGCCAAGTGAGCCTAGCTAATTGTTCTCTCTCCAGTGGCCTACATTTGGCACTTGGAGAGAAGATTATTCTTCCTCTCTTTTCTTGGACTGACATTTTCCCCTCTATTCAAGCCCTCGCAAGCTGTCATTAACTCATTATTCGTTCATCTGAATCTGTATACATACTACTACATACGTGTCAGACTACGCGTACAGTCACTGTCAGGAAAGATCACCGCTGCTTCAGAAGCAACTAAACTAGTACTCTCCCTGCATCAGATTAAGAACAAATCCAAGTGTAAGCAGGTTCAGTGTAGTCACCGAAACCCATTTCTTAGTTGAAGCCCTTGTCCTTTCCTCCCCTCTCTCTCCGTGTCCCTGCACAAATAAACAAATTCAAAAGTCGCCATTTATAAATTTATAATCCAGGCTCGTTCAATTCGGTGATCTTGGATGCAGGCCCGGTTTAAAATTCAGCTAAAAAATATATGGTTTTTCAGTTCAGACATCTGATCAGATCACCGCACCCACGTACACAGGCAGGCAAGCGCACGCGCACACGCGTATATACCTGAGCTGAGCTCATTCCCAGCTGTGTCTACTGCCATTTTTTGTTTAGTTTTAGTGCCCATCATCTGGATTTGCTTCTTTAATGCACTACGACCAGTACAATAATACTAGTACGGCTTTCTCTCCTGCATCTCCAAAGGAAGGTTCTACTGCTACTGTGTTGTGTGGGACAGGTTTAATTTAAATTCAGTTCGAATTGAGCTGTTTAATTTATACTAGTGCCCTGTTTAGTTCTAAAAATTTTTTTTTCACTCTGTCGCATCGAATGTTTGGACATATGCATAGAGTATTAAATATAGATAAAAAAACTAATTACACATATTGCTCCATGATTTAAAAATGTGGTGAACATTTGCTAATGATGGATTAATTAGGTTTAATAAATTCGTCTCGCAGTTTACAGGCAAAATCTGTAATTTGTTTTATTATTAGTCTACATTTAATACTTTAAATGTGTGTCCATATATTCGATATGACACGTCCAAACTTTTCACCTCCAAATCTAAACACATGCTGGTCCAAATTTTTGAGATCAAGTTGGCAATGGGGATGGGGTCGTCTTGTTCGGACTTGAGAGTGAGAGATTATTTGATTTGGGGAGAGCAGCATGGGGTCCTACCACCCACGCCGCCATTACACCTTTCCCATTTCTCCACCACTGGAGCAAGATGTGCCCATTGGGCTCACACGTCGCAATCGCTACATGATTAGCTCTTGGAAGAAGAGAAAAGAAACGCACTAATGGATTAAGAAAATGGTTACAAGTAGTATGCTCACTGCTTTTTTTTTTCTTTTTTCCGGCCATCATGCACGGGTTAGCCAAAAGGGCTAATTAAGATCATGCTCGTTATACATATTATGAATTATCATGGACATGTATAATTTCTCTAAGAATATCTCTTCATCTGTACTGTATTTTGTATTTCCTATAAACGTTTTCAAATCAACTTAACAACTTTCTAACACATACTCCCTCCATCCCAGTTTGACCATCACTTAAGCAAAAGAACAGGAAGACGACAATAAGATCTTCATCATTTTGAAATTAATCCTTATCGATCAAGGTGCTCCATATTGTCCCGTGGATTACATCATGTTTTAAATAGTACATGTTGTTGCACCAATAAAAATTAATCTTAGGGCCCCATCGTTTCGCTTATTTAGGGAATAAGCGAAACGGCATATTTGCAAACGAAAATAATTTATGAATAAAATTTTTTATATACATGTTCTTAGCAATCTAACAGCAAAAACTGAAAAATAAACTTCGATGAAAAAACCTCATAATCAACTTCAAATTTACGGTTGAAAATTCAAATTTTAGCTGATAATTATAAGCATAAGTAAAAAAGATGATGCCATTAGATAATTGCATGCAACGCAATAAACGATGCCCATTTACTCTTTATACAAATAAATAAAGAAATAATTATTAGAGGATAATTATTTTAAAAAAGAGAGTAATTCTTTTGTTTATATCATTAAATATTTATCGCAGACTCAGCCATCCGTTTCTAAGGGTGCCTTTAGAAGGTTGGGTTCGAACTCTTTGTTTTCTACGCACACGATTCCTAAACTATTAAACAATATGTTTTTTTAAAAAACTTTTGTATAGAAAATTTACTTTAAAAACTATATTAATTCATCTTTTAAATTTAAAATAATAATACTTAATTAATCGTATACCCAAATAACTCATCTTATTTTACATGTCTTCTTAATTTTCTCATTTCCTAAGTTCACGAGTTGGTGATGAGATTGGCCAACTCCCTTGAATCTTCCAGTGGCAAAGGATGGGGATGTGGAATTGGAATTGAGATTTGGATGGGATGGCCGGATGGGAATGGGATATTGGGATGGGATGCCACACCCCCCAAAAATTCCAACTCCATTCATTCGTGTTGCTAAGGCCCTGTTTAGCCGTGTTACACCAAATGTTTAGACAAAACATAGATAAAATAAAAAACTAATTACACAGATTGACTGTAAATTGCGAGACGAATCTTTTAAACCTAATTGCTTCATGATTTGATAATATAATGCTATAGTAAACATTTGCTAATGACGGATTAATTAGGTTTAATAAATTCGTCTCGTGGTTTACAGGCGGAATCTGTAATTTATTTTATTATTAATCGATATTTATTCAAATATATGTTCGTATATCCGATATGACACTCTAAAACTTTTCACCCCTGAATCACTTTCACCCCTGAATCAAAACACAGCCGAGCCTATATATGACAATTCCGCAGTGGCTGGGAACAAAACATTCTTTCTTCACCATCTTATTGGTAAGTACTTTGCCTTAGTGAACGAAATGAAATGGGGTTTGAATTATTTTTCTTTTCTTTTTCCCCACTTTGTTCATTCATTCAGTAGTGCTGTCGACGTCATCGATCTTCACCACTTTTTTCTCGTTTGTTCAAAACCTCGTGCAAATATTTGCAAATATACTAGTGGTACATGAAGAATCTAATACTACTGCTAGTAGGAGTAATTAATTAAATATGGGTGGTATTTAAGTTTTACAGAGACGCACGCTCCATTCCTCCGTCCTCTGCTCCTCTGACAAGATAGAATTGAGATGCAGAGATGGACAGCGGGGGTGAAAAGACCATTTAGCCCCCGATTCGGAGTCACTGACAGGTGGGTCCCGTGCCAAGGCAGTGCCTGTGTGATTTCGCCCGTGGATGGGCGTCAGCAGTGAGCAGCGGGAAGCATCGTCACGTGCTTCTGCCAGGTGGGCCCGCGTGGGTGGAGGGGTCTCACTGACAGGTGGGCCCGGAAAAAGCGGGGTCCCCGGCGATGCGACGCGCCACCGGCGAGCGGCAGCGGCGGCGGCGGGGAGTTCAGGCGTAGAGGACCTGAGCGTTGCACGGGGCGAGGCCGGCGAACTCGGCGGGGCCCTTGACGACCTCCCAGTCCACCCTCTCGTCGTCGCCGCCGTGGATGGCCGGAGAAGGGGAGACCGTGCCTATGGCGACGTCGAGGCCGGCGCCCACCACGTATATCCGCCGCCTGCCGCCGCTGCCGACCTCCTCGACCTCGCCGGAGACGACGTGGGGGCGCCTCACCTCGGGGGGCACCCCGCTCCCGGCGACCATCCTCCACTCGTCCCGCGGCTCGTCGTACCGCTTCAGCCTCCACTCGCCGTACTCCGCCACGATGTACATCCGGCCGCCGGCGACGGCGCAGGAGCCCGTCCACCCTTCCCGCATCCCGCGCGCCATCTCCGACCACGAGTCCGACGCCGCGTCGTACACCGCGCCGCGCGGCGCCCGCTCGAACGGCCACGCCCACCCTTCCGTCACGTACAGCTTCCCCCCCGACGCCGCGGCGTCGTACCTCGCCACGGCCGCGCCACGCCGGGCCGCCGCGGGGGCCCACCTCCCTTCCTCCGGGTCGAACACCTCCGCCTCCCCGTCCTCCCCGGCCACCACCAACCTCCCCCCCACCTCCCCCGCCGCCATGTACCCCCTCGCCGTGCCCATCCCCGCCGCCTCCTCCCACCCGTTCCTCGCCGCGCTGTACACCGCGACGCTCCTCACGGCCTTGTCGCCGCCTTCCACCACGCCCCCAATCACATAGATCTCACCTCGGCGTGGTAACCCCACCACCGCGAACGACCCAGCCGCGGCGGCGCCACCGGGCACGGGCGGCAGCAGCAACCACCTCCTCGAGAACGGGTCGAGCGCCTGGCACTGGAGCCGCCGGGAGGCCGGGTCGAACGCAAACGCAAACAGGAACGGCAGCGACAGCGACACCGACGCCGCGGCCGCGGACGGGAACTTGGCCGGGGAGACGGTGAGGAAGCGGTTCCAGGTGGAGGAGACGGTGCGGAAGAGGCGGTGGTAGAGGAACGGCAGGTGGAGGAGGCACTTCTCGGCGACCTCCTCGGGGAGGCCGGGGATGAGCTCCATGACCTCCTCGCCGCCGCCGCCGCCGACCTCGTCGCCGGCGACTTCGAGCACCTGCTGCTTGCTCATCGACGACGAGAAGCTCATGGTGGTGGGTTTCGTGGGGATGGATTAAATGATTAATTGGGCGCGATTTTAATTAATTCGGGTGGTGGTGTATTTTGGGGGGGAAATTTTTAGGGGAGTTTGTGGATGATGGGGAGGGAGAGGGAGAGTGGTGGGGAATTTATAGGGGTTGGGTCTGCGAGTGGAGGGGAGCGGGTGCGCCCCGGGAGCCGTGGCTTTGCTGGCTGGCTGGCTCGTTTCATCCGCTCAGGCTCGCTCAGGACTCTCAGGTCTCAGCTATTCAGAATTTTCGGATCTGGTGTAGATTTACGCCCACAAACCGTACGGCCTTTTATTTAGGGATGTACTCCCTCCGTCCCATAATATAGCAATCTAGTACCAGATTAGACACATCCGGTACGAGCTATATTATGGGACGGAGGAAGTAAATGGGTTAGTCCCGCTACTCGCATAAAAACCTGGTTGCTAGTTTATTTTTTATATGGTAATATAAAATTTAGAAGAAAAAATGAACTAGAAATGAGATAAGCAAGCTAAAAAAATTCGCTTACCCGCTCTGCTTGCGTCCCTATTTTTAATCCCCCGTTGGATAAAACCATGACGGTATGATCTTTGTGCCAATGAAAAACTGTCTAACGATGGTTAAGGGCTTATTCCGAATGCAGGGTTGAAAAAACATAGGAATGTGATAGAAATACACGTGTAAAACAGAGGATTAAAAAACCCAGGAATGATATATAAACATGTGTTCGGATAGAGTGTTGGAAAACCATAGAAAGAAAAAACATAGGAGTTTTTAAAGAATTTACCCACTGACTAAAATCTTCATGTGCCAGAGACTCAGAGGAGGGAAGCTTGTGAAGATTAGTTCGTTGATTGCCTCGTTTCCCATGCATAGGAAAAATAAAAAGAGCTCGGAGTGAATTGTTAGTTTTCTTGTGGAATGGATGGCCAAGGAAATTTTCCTTCGGATTCCTCCGATTTTTCTACAGGTGATTCCTCTGATCAGAATGCTGCTACAGTACCTAAAATCCATAGGAATGCAAATTCTATGTATTTCCTGAGTTTATCCTCCGATCCGAATAAGCTCTAAGGTTATAAAAAAAAACTAGTTGGTAGCTAGTTTTTTAAAAATGAGAGAAGTTGTTAAATCTATTTTTTTTGTTTTTCATTTATTTTATGAATTTTGTAACTATATCTTCTCAAAATTTGGTTAAAAAGCAGACTATTTGAGGAGCTTCTCTGATTATGAAGGAGTTGCAACTAATATAAGCTCTCCAAACAAGTCAAATATATGACATGCAAAAGTTTGAAAAACGTAAAATGTTTAATTATTTTTAGAGGGTTGCTATGTATCACCCCATCGCCAAAAATAGTGCCAAACCGAATGTCCACCAAGTGAGAAAGGGCTAATCACGGTAAGTATCCTACTATCTATAAAGACAAGGTTAATTGTGGACCATTGCGGTAGTTGCTAGCTTTGCTAATGCTTTGATAGTAAAAGGAGGCTATTCTGGGTGTTCTACTCTCACATCTTTACCTTAGATTTTTGTGGTAAATCTCTCTATATTGCGATGTGAGCTAACATGTCACGAAAGAAGTTGGTTTTCACATAAGCCACCATCAAATGTGTGGACGATGTCCCTTTGGACCAAAGCTATTCCGCATTCATGTTGCAACCCTGTTGCCTATTGGAAACACTTAATTCGTAAAAGAATAATGTGATGCTTGTTTACATCGTAGCCAATATAAAACTCATCGAAACATTGGTCCTTTGTTCTAAAAAAAAAGAAAAAGAAAAGGAAACACTGGTCCTCCCTCCGTCTTTCACTTATTAGGCGGTGTTCTAAGGTGATGATTGAGAACCTTCACTCTTGGAAGGAAAAATGGAGTGATGGATTAACGCATAATTAATTAAGTATTAGCTTAAAAACTTTTAAAATTAATTAATATGATTTTTTTTAAAAATAGCTTTCCTGTAGAACTTTTTTAAAAAAATATCGTTTAGCGGTTTGGAAAACGAGCGAGAGTTGGAAAAGAAAGAAAATAACATGTCCTTAAAGTGTTCAATTCTTGTCGTAAAATAGAACTACTTTAAATGTACTTGGGGTGTTTGTAGCACTGGTGAAGAAACCATCTTTCGTCGGTCGGGCTATTTCCACAATAGTCCCGGTTGCAATAAAAACCAGGACTAAAGATGAAAAGGGTAACAAACATATTTGATCTTTAGTCCCGGTTCAAATGTTGTCAGGGCTTGTCAGGCCTCCCCAAGATCTTTAGTCCCGGTTGGTAACATCGTAACTTTAGTCCCGGTTGGTAATACCAACCGGGACTAAAGATCCAGATCTATTTATAGTCCTGATTGATAACACTAACCGGAATAAAAGATCAGCATGCGCAACATGGGCGGCGGAGAGTTCGAGGCCAGATCGAAGAGGAGGAGGAGCAGTTAATATATTCTATCTCCTCCCTGGCCTTATCTCTTCCTCCTCCATATCTCTTCCTCTTCCTCCTCCTCTCCTTTTAACTTCTCTCCTCTAACTTCTCTCCTCCTTTTCCTCTTTCTCCTCTACGAGCGCCGGCGGGCGGAGGGCCTGGTGGCCGGCGGCGTGCCGGCGCGGCGGCGCGGAGGCCCGGGCGGCGCGGCGCTAGGCGGTGCGGCGGCACAGCGGCCCGGGCAGCCTCTCGGGCGGCGCGGCGCTAGGCGGTGCGGCGGCGCGGCGGCCCGGGCGGCCTCGCGGGCGGGGGGCCGCGCCCCGCGGCGACGGGCAGGCGGCCGGCGGGGCCACGCCTTCCGGCGGCGGCGCCCCGCGGTGACGGGCAGGTGGCCGACGGCCGGTTAGGCCGCGCCCGGCGGCAACGAGCGGCCGTTTTTTTTATATAATCTGTGATTATTGAGATGTATAATTTTTTGTGATTCATTGGACATTTGTATATATCTGAGATGTATAATCTGTGATGTATTTGATTTGTTTTGTATTGTTTAGGATTTGGGATGTATTTGATTTGTGTGTATGAGTAACTTTAAGATTTCTGATGTGGAGTTGAGATGTTATTTGATTTGGGGATTTGGGGATGTGCATGCCACTCGATTCGGGAGAAAATAAAAAAGAAAATAAAAGAAAAGGGGACCATCTGGACTGCCCGCTACTCTCTCTTTAGTCCCGGTTGATAAGAACAACCGGGACTAAAGATCTCTCTTTTTTACTCCTGGTTGTTGTTATCAATCGGGACTAAAGATCAATCTTTAGTCCCGGTTATTTCAACCGGGACTAAAGATACCCATCTTTAGTCCCGGATTGCTACTTCCAATTGGAAACCCGGGATTAAAAGGGGGTTACCAACCGGGAGTAAAGAAGGTTTCTCCACCAGTGTAGCGATAAAATGTTCGAAATGCTTCTCATCTCATCAGCCAATCCCAACAACTGGGACAATTAACAAAGGGTAATTTTATCTTTTTACCTTTTACCTTAATCTTCGTGAAAAACTCTAGTATATAAATAGGTAAATAGCTATATTTTGGGGTGAAATGAGCAATAAAAAGATTAGTCATGCAAAGATTCTTGCTATACAAATTTGGTTTGTTGCCAAATTCTAATAATAGTAATTTTTTACTAAGTAACAAACCAAATGACGCTAAGTCATAGCGTTATCAAATTTTGGTACGGCTACTTTAGGGAACAAACAAAATAGTCCCAACTCCTCCTTCATACTACTTTTTTAGAGGAGTCCCAACTTATTGGTTCATGCTAAGTTTAAGAGATAAAGGCCTGGTTTAGTTCCCAATATTTTCTTCAAACTTCTAGCTTTTTCATTACATCAAAACTTTTCTACACACATAAATTTTTAATTTTTTCATCATATCATTCTAATTTCAATTAAACTCGTGAACTAACCACACCCAAAACGGAGAGATGGGCAAGGATGATGTTCCCATAATGCTAGCTTTGGCGCGCATGGGAAGATTGCGCGGATGGACGGTGTGGACCACCGCGGAGGTACACACACCATCATCGCTGTTATCCGACGGCCGCGGGAGGTGGTGGGCCCGCCGTGAAAGCCCAGTGGGCCTGGTGGGCCCACACCGAGCGTGTCCCTGAAGGAAAATTATTTTAAAAAAAAACTTTTCTGGTTGGTTGCGGCTGTGCCTGCGATTCATTTTTTCCTTCGTTTCCTACGGCTTTTTTTTGTTCGTGTCGCTTGATTAGAGCATGTTTAAGGTACTCCATCCATCCCAAAATATTTAACGCCGTTGATTTTTTTAAAAAAATTTAACCGTTTGTCTTATTCAAAAAATTTAAGTAATTATTAATTCTTTTCCTATCATTTGATTTATTGTTAACTATACTTTTACGTCTATATATAGTTTTACACATTTCACAAAAGTTTTTGAACAAGACGAACGGTCAAACATATTTAAAAAAGTTAACGGCGTCAAATATTTGGGAAATGAGGGAGTATAACAGTAGACTATAAGTCAGCTAAATACTGAGGTGTAGGAGAAAAGAGAGGAGGGAGAGGAGAAGCGGGCTGTAAACTTACAACCGGCTTGGACGCAAGAACCAAAAAACTCTGTGAGCCATGTATTAATTGTAAAGAGATAACTGGGTAGGCTGAGAGAAGGCTAAAAAAAACCTTATAGCCAACATATCGGCTGTATTATTAGCCTTGCTTAGTTGTATAGCTAACTTCTAGCTTCAAATAATTAATAGTCAATTTAATAGCCAATCCATACAATAATTATCTATAAACATATCTAATACACTATTAATACCTGGTCATACATGTCATACACACGTAGCATTTTGGAGTCTGTGCTGCTGTAAATCTATAGATTGATACTCTATTTTTTTTTGTAAATTTCACAAAACTATAGATACTTTGACTAAATTATCGCAAATCTACAGATTTAAGGTCATATATCATAGAATTACAGATTTAGCAACAAATTTATCACAAAACTACATGTTTAAGACTAAGTATCACAAAACTACATATCTAACAATAAAATTATCACTAAACTACATATTTTGGGGTTTGAATTCTTTGCACTAATGTTATATTTGAGTTGTAAATATCCAAGTTTTATGACTAAATTGATATTAAACCTATAGTTTTTTTTGATAATTTTGTTACTAAACCTATAGTTTTGTGATATTTTACTTTA